GACTCGATGGTACCATCGAGTTTTCAGCCCCATTGCCAGAGCGTCGCCCGGCTACGTGCCCAGCGTGCTGACGTCACGTCTGGGCGACAGCATAGTGTAACACGAGTGTGTTACAGGCAGCAATGTTCCGGCGGGAAAGCATGTGTCCCCCACCGATTCGTGGTAGGTACTTGGTAACCCTACATATAAATATTGGCTGGCATGGGCTTTTGAATTATTATTATTATTATTATTATTATTATTAAACTTTTATACTGGTTTCCCCTCAGAGCGGGCTCAGAGTGGTGTACAACATTTTACATCGAGGCACACAAACAATCCATTAACCTAAACATACAGATAAAATACAGAAATCTTAAAGCAACATTGGTGGTACATACAAAAACATAAAACCTCTGTGGTGTCACAAGACAATTTTAACCCCTGATGGCCGGGGGTGGGGGGAGGAAGAAGAAGAGATTGGATTTATACCCCGCCCTTCACTACCCAAAGGTGTATCAGAGGGGCTTACAAACTCCTTTCCCTTCCCCTCCCCACAACAGACACCCTGTGAGGTGGGTGGGGCTGAGAGAGCTCTGACACCCTGCTCTTTTTCAGGACAGCTGTGCCAGAGCTTGTGACTGACCCAAGGTCACATCAGCAGGTGCAAGTGGAGGAGTGGGGAATCAAACCCGGTTCTCCCAGATTAGAGTCCGCACACTTAACCACTACACCAGACTGGCTCTGGAGGGAGGAGGGGGAAAGGCCGCTGATTGGCCCAACCGTTGCTGTCTTCAGCCATATGCTTGGCGGAACATCTCTGCCTTACAGGCCCTGTGGAACTGTAGCAAGTCCTGCAGGGCCCTGGTGTCATTGGGCGGAGGGTTCCACCAAGCCCTGGCTCTGGGTGAGGACAGCTGGACGCTCATTGGGCCAGGGACTTCCAGCAGATGTTCTCCTGAGCTCAGCACTCGGGGGGACATGCCAAGAGAGGTGGTCCTGCAGGTATGTTGGTCCCTGTTTAGGGCTTTCAAGGTCAGAACCGAAAGCTTACACCTGATCCCGGTACCTGGCAAAGCAGAGGTTGAATGTGTACAGTTAACAGTGTCCCTGTTGAGGATCCAGGCCGCTGCATTCTGAACCAGTTTTAACTTTCGGATCAGTCTCAAGGGCAGCCCTGCATAGAATGAGTTGCAGTCATCAAGCCTCGAGGTGACCGTTGCAGGGATCACAATGGCCAAGTCAGGGCGAGACAGGTAGGGGGCCAGTTGCCGGATCTGGTGTAGTTGGAAAAATGCCAGTCTTGACAACATGTGTGATCTGGGGCCTCCATTGATAAGGAGGCATCTAGAAACACAACAATAGCCTGTTGGCTCAAGTGGTTAAGACGCTGAACTGCAGGCTGTGGAAGGTCAGTAGTTCAGCAGTTCGAGACCCGGGTTGCCGCATGACGGAGTGAGCTCCCGTCTCTAGTTCCAGCTCCTGCCAACCTAGCAGTTCGAAAGCAAGAAATTGCAAGTAGATAAATAGGTACCACTTCTGTGGGAAGGTAACAGTGCTCCGTGCGCCTCGGCGTTTAGTCATGCTGGCCACATGACCACGGAAACGTCTTCGGACAGTGCTGGCTCTTCGGCTTGGAAACGGAGATGAGCACGGCAGCCCTAGAGTCGGACTCGACTGGCTTTCGAGCAAGGGAAACCTTTACCTTTACAACCTGGTAAAACAGATGATGGTCCCAGACATGTGCTGCTTGGTGCGTGTTCACATGTTTAGCTGCTTTCCGCACTCAAAAAGTGTGCAGCTTGCTAGATTATTGCCATAAATAATAAGGCTAAAACTGGCTGGCTGGCAAATACTTTGCCCCGATGCTGTGGTCTATGCCAGAAACCTGATCTCCTCTGCAAGGGGGCAGTAGAGAGCTTGGGGATGTGTTTGCTCCACCTAATGTAACTGTCTTGTATTGTAACATAGCTAGACTTATGTATGTGCTCTAGCTTAATATTTAGTAATGAACCTTCTTTCCTGTTTAAGAAAACAGACCATGACCCAGATCCTACCTACATGCTGAAAACTGCTCATACATGCTAAAGACATGTATACATGGGGGGAGTTAAAATAATTGGAAGCTCTGCCCTTTGTACTTTGGTGTTGTGGTTAAGTGTACGGACTCTAATCTGGGAGAACTGGATTTGATTCCCTAGTCCTCCACTTGCAGCTGCTGGATGACCTTGGGCAAACCATAGTTCTGGCACAGCTGTTCTTGAAAAAGAGCAGTTTCTGTCAAGAGCTCTCTCAGCCCCGCCTACCTCACAGGGTGTCTGTTGTGGGGAGGGGAAGGGAAAGGAGTTTGTAAGCTGCTCTGAGACACCTTTGG